TGTGTGGGTGTGTTGGTGTGTGGGTGTCCTGGTGGGTGGGTGTGCTGGTGGGTGGGTGTGCTGGTGGGTGTGCTGGTTGGTGGGTGTGCTGGTGGGTGGGTGTGCTGGTAGGCTGGTGTGCTCGTGGGTGTGTGTTGGTGTGTGGTTGTGCTAGTGGGTGGGTGTGCTGGTAGGTGGGTGTGCTGGTGGTTGGGTGTGCTGGTGGGTGGGTGTGCTGGTAGGTGGGTGTGCTAGTGGCTGGGTGTCCTGGTGGCTGGGTGTCCTGGTGGGTGGGTGTGCTGGTGGGTGGGTGTGTTGGTGTGTGGGTGTCCTGGTGGGTGGGTGTGCTGGTAGGTGGGTGTGCTGGTGGGTGGGTGTGCTGGTGGCTGGGTGTGCTGGTGGCTGGCTGTGCTGGTGGGTGGGTGTGCTGGTGGCTGGGTGTGCTGGTGGGTGGGTGTGCTGGTGGCTGGGTGTGCTGGTGGCTGGGTGTGTTGGTGGGTGGGTGTGCTGGTGGGTGGGTGTGCTGGTGGGTGGGTGTGCTGGTGGCTGGGTGTGCTGGTGGCTGGGTGTGCTGGTGGGTGTGTGTGCTTTTGGGTGGCTGTGCTGGTGGGTGGGTGTGTTGGTGTGTGGGTGTGCTGGTGGGTGGGTGTGCTGGTGGGTGGGTGTGCTGGTGGGTGGGTGTGCTGGTAGGTGGGTGTGCTGGTGACTGGGTGTGCTGGTGGCTGGGTGTGCTGGTGGCTGGGTGTGCTGGTTGGTGGGTGTGCTGGTGGGTGGGTGTTCTGGTGGCTTGGTGTCCTGGTGGCGAGGTGTGCTGAAGGGTTGGTGTGTTGGTGTGTGGGTGTGCTGGTGGGCGGGTGTGCTGGTGGGTGGGTGTGCTGGTGGCTGGGTGTGCTGGTGGGTGGGTGTGCTGGTGGCTGGGTGTGCTGGTTGCTAGGTGTGCTGGTGGCTGGGTGTGCTGTTGGCCTTTTGTGCTGGTGGCTGGGTGTGCTGGTGGCTGGGTGTGCTGGTGGGTTGATGTGCTGGTGGGTGGGTGTGCTGGTGGGTTGATGCGCTGGTAGGTGGGTGTGCTCGTGGGAGGGTGTGTTGTTGTGGTTCGTGTGCTGGTGTGTGGGTGTGCTGGTAGGTGGGTGTGCTGGTGGGTATGCTGGTGGGTGGGTGGGGTGGGGGGGGGGGGGGGGATGTGCTGGTGGCTGGGTGTGCTGGTTGCTAGGTGTGCTGGTGGCTGGGTGTGCTTGTGGCTGGGTGTGCTGGTGGCTGGGTGTGCTGGTGGCTGGGTGTGCTGGTGGGTTGATGTGCTGGTGGGTGGGTGTGCTGGTGGGTTGGTGCGCTGGTAGGTGGGTGTGCTCGTGGGTAGGTGTGTTGTTGTGGTTCGTGTGCTGGTGTGTGGGTGTGCTGGTGGGTGGGTGTGCTGGTGGGTGGGTGTGCTGGTGGGTGTGCTGGTGGGTGGGTGGGGTGGGGGGGGGGGGGGTGCTGGTGGCTGGGTGTGCTGGTTGCTAGGTGTGCTGGTGGCTGGGTGTGCTTGTGGCTGGATGTGCTGGTGTGTGTGTGTGCTGGTGGCTTGGTGTGCTGGTGGGTGGGTGTGCTGGTGGGTGTGTGTGCTGGTGGGTGACGGTGCTGGTGGGTGGGTGTGCTGGTGGGTGGGTGTGCTGGTGGGTGGGTGTGCTGGTGGGTTGGTGCGCTGGTAGGTGGGTGTGCTCGTGGGTGGGTGTGTTGTTGTGTGGGTGTGCTGGTGGGTGGGTGTGCTGGTGGAAGGGTGTGCTGGTGGGTGGGTGTGCTGGTGGGTGGGTGTGTTGGTGTGTGGGTGTCCTGGTGGGTGGGTGTGCTGGTGGGTGGGTGTGCTGTTGGGTGGGTGGGTGTACTGGTGGTTGGGTGTGCTGGTGAGTGGGTGTGTTGGTGTGTGGGTGTGCTGGTGGTTGTGCTGGTGGGTTGGTGTGTGGGTGTGCTGGTGGTTGTGCTGGTGGGTTGGTGTGTTGATGGGTGGGTGTGTTGGTTGCGAGGTGTGCTGGTGGGTAGGTGTGTTGGTGTGTGCGTGTGCTGGTGGGGGGGGGGGGGGGGGGGGGGTGGTGGGGGGTGTGCTGGTTGGTGGGTGTGTTTTTGTGTGGGTGTGCTGCTGGGTGGTTGTGCTGGTGGGTGGGTGTGTTGGTGGGTGGGTGTGCTGGTGGGTGGGTGTGTGGGTGTGTTGGTGTGTGGGTGTGTGGGTGTGCTGGTGTGCTGGTGGGTGGGTGTGTTCGTTTGTGTGTGTGTGTGTGTTGGTGGGTGGGTGCGTGTCCCATATTGTGCAGTGGTATGTGCAGTCGATTTCCAATCGAGAGGTTGCGGGTTCAATTCCCGACGATTATGGTCGCACACGTCTTTCTTCTCTTTCTTGGACTCTTCCTGACTTTTCTTTCATTCTCCTGGGTGGTTACCAACAGTCAGTGTATGCCGAAGTACTAGTATTATGTGGTGTGGTGTGTGTGTGTAGAAAAATAGAAAAAGAAAAAAAGAAAAGAATGGAAAAATGAAAACAATAGGGATTCACTGGCCAGAAAAAGTCACTTCAATCAGCTGTGTGGTGGATACCAGGCTAAAAATAGTGGCAGTCAATTCATCAACCTTGCAAGCTGTTGAATGATGTAATCCCAGCACAAGTTGCTATGTCCAACATAGCTGTTCGCTATCATCGCTTCTGCGATGGGCAGGTCTGATGGTGGGTGTGTTGGTGGGTGGGTGTGTTGGTGGGTGGGTGTGCTGGTGGGTGGGTGTGCTGGTGGGTGGGTGTGCTGGTTGGTGGGTGTGTTGGTGTGTTGGTGTGTGGGTGTGCTGGTGGGTGTGTGTGTGTTGGTGGGTGTGTGTGCTGGTGGGTAGGTGTGCTGGTGGGTCGGTGTGCTGGTGGGTGGGTGTGCTGGTGGGTTGCTGTGTTGGTGGGTTGGTGTGATAGTGGGTGGGTGTGCTGGTGGGTGAGTGTGCTGGTGGGTGTGTTGATGAGTGTGTGTGATGTCGGGTGGGCGTGCTGGTTGTTGGGTGTGCTGGTGGGTGGGTGTACTGGTGGGTGGGTGGGTGTGTATGATGGCGGGTGGGTGTGCTGGTGGGTCGGTGTGCTGGTGGGTCTGTGTGTGATGGTCAGTGTTAAGTATGATATTTGAACGGAAGTATCCGTGTGTGGACGGGTTGGTGTACATGCCGGTTCGTGTTGGAACCCGCCGGTGTGTGGGTTGGTCGGTTTCGAGGCTGGTTAATGTTCGGGAGGGTTGCTTTGAGGGCTGCTTTGTTTGCGGGTGGGTCGATGTGCGGGCGGGTCGGTGTGCGGGCGGGTCGATGTGCGGGCAGGTCGGTGTGCGGGTGGGTCGGTTTCCAGGCCGGTCAGTGTACCGGTGGTAGGGATATCAGCAAACGCACTGCGCAGCCCACTGCGCAGGTGATCACGTGCACATCCAACGCGGCCGACAAGCTGTGACCATCCACACCCGAAAAAATTCGCAAGTAAATCAGAATGGAAAAGAAGGACGGAATGGCGAAGAAGTGTCTGAGGAAGAAGACCAGCTAGAGCCGAGCTACTTCAAAGCTTCCCTCTTCGACGCTGGGCGATGGCTACAAAGGTTATTACGAATACATTCATCGTTTATTACATCGTCTCGACGTCGTCCACAGGGTTTCCGAGGCACTTTCTTCCAGCTCAAAAATGGACGATCGTCAGCTAGATTTCGTAGAACGTCGGCTGGTACCTGGCAAGGTCTAACCAGGGAAGTCCCCTTTTGAAGACGTCATTGAATTGGCCTGACCATGTGGACTACACGTGCCAAGATTGGAGGAAATCCACGGAGGCGTTTGCGCGAAAATAATCGAAAGATTACTTGGGCACCATGTACCGCACACATATGGCGCTTTTGAAGTTTTGAATGATACTACTTGTTCTCGCGTCGAGGACCTTTGCCCAAGTAGTTTCTTGTCATGGCTGTCTAGACAAGGGAGTAGGAGCCCAAGTCTTGGAAAATTGCTTGGCGTGGCTAGAGCAAAATCAACAAGTAAGTTTCAGACGCAACCACCAGAGGTCACCAGGTAGCCTGTTCGCAGAGAAGTACGGGTACTGTTCTTTGGTGCAAACATAGCTCCATCCAGCTACGAACATCTTCTTCCTTTGTCATGTCTTTACTTGAGAACGTTTACCAGGCATGGGTGAAGAAGAATATTAGCTCATGATGTCTTTTTTCCTGAATGAATCGAGCTCAAGCAAACCAACAAACAGGCTTCTTGTCGAGTGTCGATTTTAATTTTCATTCCTTGCCGGCCTGCGCTGAGCCTGATCCACGACCTGATTTCAGTGATCGCCATTTTTTCTTGTCGGCCGTGCGCCTCATAGATTTCCGCATGAGGTAAGACATGCGCGAACACGCTGCGCAGTGCGTTCGCTGATATCCCTACCGGTGGGTCTGTTTCCTGGCTGGTCGGCGTGCGGGCTGGTCGGTTTCCACAACTTTCCAGTTTCGTCGGCTTCAAGGCTGGTCTGTGTGGGAGCTGGTTAGGGTGCGGGTGGGTTGGTGTGCGGGCTGGTTGGTGTGCGGGCTGGTTGATTTGCGGGCTGGTCGGTATGAGGATGGGTCATGCATACAGATCGGTCTTGCGTGCTAGCTGGTCGTGCATGCGTGTGGCTCACACATGCTAGCGGGTTGTGCATGAGAGAGTCGGTCTGTTGGCTGGTTGCTGGCCTTGCAGCTTATTTCAATAGCATGTTGAGCCATGGGCAGGTTGGTGTGTTGTGGTCTGGGGCTAAGTTGGATTGTGGTTGGGTCTGCATGAATGTTGTTTGGGGGGGGGGGGTGCTAAGGTAAATTGGTGTCCGGGAGTTGTGTGTGTGGGGGGCTGTGGGGGGAGGGGGGAGTTGGAGGGGATGCGGAGTTGGAATTTGGTCCCAGTAAACTGAAATGTAGAAAGTAATCTGATGATGGTTATGTGCATGTCTGTGTGTCTGTGTGTGTGTCTGTTTGTCTGTGTGTCTGTGTGTGTCTGCGTGTGTGTGTCTGCCTTTCTCTCTGTGATTGTAGAAACTTCAGCCATCACCCCAGTGTCCACATCCATGGATTCGCCGTCAGCACTGGCAGGAGACCAGCAAGTATCCGCAAGTGTCTCCTCTACATCAGCAGCATTACCAATACCAGCAGAAAGTGTAGGGGATTTCCCTTTCACACACCCCAGTGCAAACAGTCCAGCATCATCAATAACTAGTTTTGTTGATACGTACGTACAGCATGCAACACAGCATAGCCACAGCAGCAGCACCATCGGTGGTGACAACAGCAACTTCACGTATCCAGTTCAGGATGCAGCAGCGTATGGTCATCGTCTACAGAAACCAATCACTGTATCACGTATGTTGGAGAGGATACAACCAACAACAGCATCAGCTCAGTTTGTTCGTAATGTTGTCTCATCCACTGGTGGTCACTGTGACCTGTCTCAACTATCGTCAGAGCTGGACGCTGACTTCAGTAAGGAATTAGTGCATGTTGGTGTGTTTATGTTGGGTGCATGCACAGATGTGTGTGTGTGTGTGTGTGTGTGTGTGTGTGTGTGTGTGTGTTTGTGCGAGTGCGCGCACACATATATGTGTGTGTGTGTGTGTGTGTGTGTGTGTGTGTGTGTGTGTGTGTGTGTGTGTGTTTGCGTGCTAGCTAGTTTTGTTGGTGGGTTCACATATCGTATTATCTCTATTACAAGCAAAGTCTCTTGTAGGAGAATTGTAAAATATATAACATCCCTATGCTTTTTTGCCTAGGTCATCAAGGTGGTAGACGGTGTCGTATTACCCTCGACCGTACCGGTCCCGTACCGTACCATCAAAGACGGCTGGCCACAAACAGCTGGTCACAATATTCAAATAGGGCTTTCAAATGCAAGATCATAACATGAAGCAACTTGGAAGAATTAGTATGTATGCGAAGTGTATCGGGGATACATGCAGGGCAATAGTGCGGGTTCGAATCCCAGGTTATGTCTTGAAAAAAAACGAGAAATGAAAAATTTACAAAGGAAAAGGACATATGGAAACTAGTTAAGAGTAACTCTCCACCACTGTAACTAGATACTATATACAGTCAGAAAGTGCAACAACTAGGCACAAAACTGACAGAGTACTGAGACATTCGACGTCCTGACACCTAGCTTCAACACATCTCCGTAGCGCTAACCGACAGCCTTCCAACTTGGAAGGTTCAAGGTTATGGAAAGACCAAAGAGGGGAAGGCAAGCGCAACGAAAACGAGCACAAGCTACAGTCCCAACGGAACAAAGAATGTCGATTGTCACTGGACGATGACGAGACCAGTAGGCGGTCTAACTACAATTCGAAGCAGCAAAGCAGCACACCACCCAACTTGGGTGGGTCAAAAATATCAAAGATAAGTTAAGAAGGGGGAAGCTTTGCGAAGCTTTGGAGAGTTACTCTTAACTAGTTTCCATATGTCCTTTTCCTTTCTACTTTTATTATTAGCTCAATACCCGTGTTTTGAAAAAATTACTATTTTTTTTGCCTAGGTCATCAAAGCAAAAAAGCATAGCGTAGGGCCCTGAGCTTCCAAGCTCTCTCTTTTATGAGGTGGAATTTCACTGGCCATTTTAACATTTACCTGCACAACTTTACATTTTTGAACAATAAATAATGGCTATGTGGGTATTGGCCGTAAGGTCATAGTTTGTGGCATTGAACTAATACACAAGTTCCAAAGTCTGTGTACGTGTGTACGCACTCTCATGTATTCGTGTACTGTACGTGTGTCATTTTCTGTGTGTTGTTTTCGTGCATATTAGTCTCGTCTGGTCCTGGGCAAGTGGAGAGTCATAGCTTATGGCCACAACGAGCACCGGCATTATCCGAAGCAAGAACAACTCTATCAGAGGCTGACATAGAACCAAATACAGCATACGCCAGAATTGCAGAACACGATGCAGATCTCTCATCATGTCTTCCTCTGGCATGTCCGTCATCGTCAAGTTTGGATCCAATTCGTGATAATCTATACCTTGCAGCAACAAGTGGCAGTTATACAGCTGTACTGCAAGATACCATACCACCCTTGTCTTCCATCACATCACCTACATATTACCAACATCACAAACACAGCCCGCAACAGCAACAACAGCAACAACAACAACAGCAGCAACAAGAGCAGCAGCAGGACCACCAGAACCTGCAGCAGCACCACCAGCAGGAACAGTATCACTACCAGCACCTCAAGCAGCGGGACCAGCACCACCAGCATCAGCAGCATCAGCAGCACCAGCATCACCAGCAGCAACACCAGCAGCAGCAGCAGCATCACCACCAGCAGCAGCACCAGCAGCAGCAGCAGCAGCGGCACCAGCAGTATCAGCAGCAGCAGCACCAACAGCAGCAGCAGCGGCACCAGCATCACGAGCAGGCCGGACAGCATCACGACTTCCAGTCGTCTTCTTCACAGATGTTTTCAAGGATTCCATTGTCGACGGATGTTGGCACACGATTTTCAGACTTCAGCCAATCCTCTCCTGGCCGCCAGAGTAAGTGTTATGTGCTATGTGATTATCCATCAGACATTAATTTGTATGGCATGCATTGCTTATTAAGCAGAAACTGATGGTTCCTGGTAAATAATGTGACAAGATTGCAAGGAACTGAAGACGATCACCATACCCTGTCGGGTATTTCTATCCGGGCAGCAAGGGTACCCTATCGGGTATTTCTATCCGGGCAGCAAGGGTACCCTATCGGGTATTTCTATCCGGGCAGCAAGGGTACCCTATCGGGTATTTCTATCCGGTTAGCAAGGGTACCCTATCGGGTATTTCTATCCGGGTAGCAAGGGTACCCTATCGGGTATTTCTATCCGGGCAGCAAGGGTCCGTATCGGGTAGTTCTATCCGGACTGCAAGGGTACCCTATCGGGTATTCCTATCCGGGTAGCAAGGGTACCCTATCGGGTATTTCTATCCGGGCAGCAAGGGTACCCTATCGGGTTTTCTATCCGGTTAGCAAGGGTACCCTATCGGGTATTTCTATCCGAGTAGCAATGGTACCATATCGGGTAGTCCTATCCGGGCAGCAAGGGTACCCTATCGGGTATTTCTATCCGGACAGCAAGGGTACCCTATCGGGTATTTCTATCCGGGCAGCAAGGGTACCCTATCGGGTATTTCTATCCGGACAGCACGGGTACCCTATCGGGTATTTCTATCCGGGCAGCAAGGGAACCCTATCGGGTATATCTATCCGGACAGCAAGGGTACCCTATCAGGTATTTCTATCCCGGCAGCAAGGGTACCCTACCGGGTAATTCTATCCCGGCAGCAAGGGTACCCTATCGGGTATTTCTATCCGGGCACCAAGGGTACCCTATCGGGTATTTCTATCCGGGCAGCAAGGGTACCGTATCGGGTATTTCTATCCCGGCAGCAAGGGTACCCTATCGGGTATTTCTATCCGGGCAGCAAGGGTACCCTATCGGGTATTTCTATCCGGGCAGCAATGGTACCCTATTGGGTATTTCTATCCGGGCAGCAAGGGTACCGTATCGGGTATTTCTATCCGGGCAGCAAGGGTACCCTATCGGGTATTTCTATCCGGTCAGCAAGGGTACCCTATCGGGTATTTCTATCCGGGTAGCAAGGGTACCCTATCGGGTATTTCTATCCGGGTAGCAAGGGTACCCTATCGGGTATTTCTATCCGGGTAGCAAGGGTACCCTATCGGGTATTTCTATCCGGGTAGCAAGGGTACCCTATCGGGTATTTCTATCCGGGCAGCAAGGGTACCCTATCGGGTATTTCTATCCGGGTAGCAAGGGTACCCTATCGGGTATTTCTATCCGGGTAGCAAGGGTACCCTATCGGGTATTTCTATCCGGGTAGCAAGGGTACCCTATCGGGTATTTCTATCCGGGTAGCAAGGGTACCCTATCGGGTATTTCTATCCGGGTAGCAAGGGTACCCTATCGGGTATTTCTATCCGGGTAGCAAGGGTACCCTATCGGGTATTTCTATCCGGGCAGCAAGGGTACCCTATCGGGTATTTCTATCCGGGTAGCAAGGGTACCCTATCGGGTATTTCTATCCGGGTAGCAAGGGTACCCTATCGGGTATTTCTATCCGGGTAGCAAGGGTACCCTATCGGGTATTTCTATCCGGGTAGCAAGTGTACCCTATCGGGTATTTCTATCCGGGCAGCAAGGGTACCCTATCGGGTATTTCTATCCGGGTAGCAAGGGTTCCCTGTCGGGTATTTTTGTACATAGGTTGTACAGTGAGTGGACACTTGTGCTGCATAGAAAGTGTACAGTAAGCATGTAGCCGTGTTTTTTACATGCACCGATGCGAAAACACCCTACTCCAACTACCCGATCAGGTTCTCAGGAGCAAACTGCTGCCCGGATACCCGCTCTAATTACGGGTAGCAGAGGCACCCTTCTACCCGAGGACACCCGTCATTTGAAGCACGAGTGTGTTGATGTGGCCTCTTCCACATCTCTATTCCTGTGTTGATGTGGCCTCGTCCACATCTCTATTCCTGTGTTGATGTGGCCTCTTCCACATCTCTATTCCTGTGTTGATGTGGCCTCTTCCACATCTCTATTCCTGTGTTGATGTGGCCTCGTCCACATCTCTATTCCTGTGTTGATGTGGCCTCTTCCACATCTCTATTCCTGTGTTGATGTGGCCTCTTCCACATCTCTATTCCTGTGTTGATGTGGCCTCGTCCACATCTCTATTCCTGTGTTGATGTGGCTTCGTCCACATCTCTATTCCTGTGTTCAGAATTGACTGCATTGCCAAGAACCTGACTTGACATTTTGTATGTCTGCCTGTTTGTGAACGTTCATCCATGTGCGGGTGGTTTCTGGTGTATGCGTGCACGCTTGTGTCTGTGTGTCTGTGTGCATGTATGTGTATGTGTGTGTGTGTGTGCGCACATGCGTGCATGGATGTGGATGTGAATGTCATTTGTTGTGTATTCGCCCCGTACAGGTCATGGTGAACTCCAGCAGCAGCCACCAGTGCTTGCATTTCCACATCATCCAGGCAAAGAACAAACTTTGCCTTCAGCCACAGCAGACACCGTAACAGCAGCAACAACAGTATCAGCGCGCAGAGCAGCCAATAGCCAATCAGCAAGATCCGTAACAACACGAGCCAATGTAGCATCAACCCGGGCTGCAGTAGTAAGTGATGACAAGCGTTTTCAGCCACCTCGGAGACTTGCACCAGAAACACGGTTGACTGAGAAGACAGCTGTGTTGGCGAGAAGAAGATTAAGAGCGTCTTCAGCCATGACCACCTCTTCATCGCTTTTGCCAGAAAGTCGAGTAGCAAGTGTGAGAGGAAGATCAGCTGCAAGGTCAAAGCCACGACATCAGCAATATCCTGCATCTGTAGAACGGCACGCACATTCCTTGAGCACACAGTCACCGTTGATACAAACATCATCATCAACATCATCCTCATCATCACCAGCAGTAGCAACACCAGTAGCAGTGCCAGCAGCAGCACCAACATCATCTTCTTCACAAGCAGCACGATCACTATCATCATCACCAGTGACAGCAGTAGCATCTTCAGCACCCGTAGCAGCAGCACCCGCACAAACAGCAGCAACACCCGCACCAGCACCAGCAGCAGCAGCAGCAGCACCAGCAGTACCAGCAGCAACACCACCCGCAGCAGCACCAGCACCCGCAGCAGCACAACCAGCACCAGCAGCAACACAACCAGCAGCAGCCATAGCGGAGGTCCCACCACCCAGCTACAGTTTTTCATCTGAGTATGGGTCCAATGCGGTAGTGGAAGCTCTTCAACAAGGATCATTACAGCCCTACATAATACAACCTTCTCAGTACGTTATGCTACAGGACCAAAGTGTACAGTGTAGTCAACTACAACCACACTTAAAACCACAACATCAACAACAGCAGCAGCTACTACCCGTACAACAGAAATTACAGAAGCAGCAGCAACAACAGCAGCAGCAACAACAGCAGCAGCAGCAACAGCTACTAATCGTGCAGCAACAACAGCAGCAGCAGCAACACCAACAGCAGCAACAACAGCAACACCAACAACAGCAACAGCAGGTGCAGCAGCAACTGCAGCAGCCCCAACAGCAGCAGCAGCAGCAGCAGGAACAACCACAACAACTGCAGCAGCCGCAACTGCAGCAGCAGCAGCACCAGCAGCAACAACAGGAGCAGCAGCCTGGACAACATGAACAACAACAACTGCAGCAGGAGGAGGAGGAGGAGCAAGCTGGCTTCACACCATCACCACCAGTTGGAAATCCCTTGACATCAAATGTATCTCCAAACCACCATCTCGTTGGTCTTGTTCCAACGTCAGTTCAACCCTCATCACTGGCAGAAAATGTTGCTTTCCTATCATCGCTGAGTTATGCTGGTAGGTTTCTGAGTGTGTTGGTGTGTGTGGGGGGGGGGGGGGGGAGGAGAGGGAGAGGAGGGGGGGGGGGGGGAGAGTGGAAGGGAAGGGAGGAGAGGGGGGGGGGGGGGGGTGGTGGAGTACACATTTCCAGGTGCCCGGGGTCGTACATATTGGGTACTGATTTAAATGTACTGTATTTTCCAGGGTGTTAGCTGCATGCTGCAGCACTCCATGCATAATTATTACCGTAAAGTCGCGGATAAAAGCCGGGTTTACATACAAGCACATCGCGGATAGAAGCCTGAAAACCAAACGGGTCAAATGCATATAAGCCTGTCGCGCGTAGAAGCCTGGCTTCTATGCAAGCGCGGATCGGGTAGGTCAAGAGTGCATGCACTATGTACAGACTACAGTGCATAGTAAAACTGCCGCCATACCGGTAGTCAGTGGTAGATCTACGCGTGTGGCTTCTATGCAAGCCCGGATCGGCCGGTGTGCATACAAGCCTGGCAAAAATACCAGTGGAGTATATAAGCATGGTTTGCATACAAGCCTGGTTTGCATTAAAGCCTGATGCAGAAAGCGGCTTATGTGCTTATAAGCCCGGCGTTTATCCGCGACTTAACGGTATGTATGTATGGTGTCATTCAACTACTTTTCATGAACTGCACTGCATCATTGCACCAGCACAGATCTTCTAGATGGTATCAGTTCTGAGTGAAGAAAAAACTAGGTAACTTTTGTAGAACTTCAGCCGTGAATCTCAACTTTTCAGTAACCATTGGTAACGTCTTGTATGTACCGATACCCATCAAGTTAGGTTGCCAGAAATATCAAAATCTGAAGTGCGGATTATAGAGCTTTTTCAAGGACGTGGCGTGAGTTGAGGTAGTGGGTGGGTGGGTGGGTAGAAAACCACGTGGGAACATGTGTTCGGCAAGTTAGGCCACACCAAGTTATTTCATTGTTTCTCGTCACCTGAAAATCTCAAAAGGAACGCGGGCGGGCGGAAAAAAAACAAAATAGGGTTTGAAAAACAAAAACTGCTATTTACACTACAAAGGCCCAATTTATGACCTAAAATCAGACTATACACCACGCGTGACAGTCAATTGCAACATACAGCCAGAAAACCAGGCTCCTGCACCGGCCTCTGGTGAGGAAGTCCAGTGTTGCATGTTATTTAAATAGGAAAGAAAGCAAACCAAAGTTATTATACAAGGGGTACATAAAATGCACTGTCGACTGACGCTATGCATACACATGTACATGCGTGCGATTTTCGTCGTCCATTCAGTTCGGAGGGTGGAGAGGAGGTCCGAGTACGAAATGCACTGTCTTGACTTGTACCGGAACTGTGTGTAGCAAAGAAGACGACCAGGTCGTGTGGTGGTGTGGTACTTGAACTACCGGTATGCGTACATACACGGTGCAAAAGTCGTCCTTCGGTTCGTGCACTAGCACTGCACTCCAGATTTGACGCCGCGCGTACTTTTACAACGCCTTTTTATGCGTGTTTACCGGGACGCGAGATTTTTTTTTTTGGTCCAATCCTCAAGAAAGGTACGCGCGCGGTGACGAGAAACAATGAAAAAACTTGGTGTGGCCTTACAAGCTCAAACTTCAAAACTGCAATGACGATGCAGGAGACATTGCACAGTATCTTGAAGGGTGCGTGCCCGCTTGACTCGTGCATGCGCACCAGTCGGGCCAGATTGCTGAGCTGGCTGATAACTTGTGTTAGGTTGCTGAGCTGGCTGATAACTTGCGTTAGGTTGCTGAGCTGGCTGATAACTTGCGTTAGGTTGCTGAGCTGGCTGATAACTTGTGTTAGGTTGTTGAGCTGGCTGATAACTTGTGTTAGGTTGCTGAGCTGGCTGATAACTTGCGTTAAGTTGCTGAGCTGGCTGATAACTTGCGTTAGGTTGCTGAGCTGGCTGATAACTTGTGTTAGGTTGCTGAGCTGGCTATCAACGCTTCTGGTGCATACATGTATTTTTATAGTCCATGAGAAAAAATACTCTCAACTAGGGCTGAAACAATTACACCGATAACTCGCATATCGATCGTTAAGAGTGCAATCGATAATCGTTAGTGTTCAAAATGAGTGCTAACGATTTATTATGCATGCATATCCGTGACAGTATTCTAGCCCTTGCACTTCATCCGATAGTGAATACGAGTACAATCATGTACTTCCAAGCGCGGTAAAATTGATTTGTGGCTTTAAAAGAGATTGGGAGAAAAGACTTTGTCTTTTTGGTTCATTTGTGTGAGAGGTCGGAGATAAGAGCAGTTGCCAGAGGGCGGTGAGAAGATTCTTTGCTCTAGAAACAACATGAAATTCTCTAGTTCATATTGATAAAACCAGCCAGATTTCTACAGATGTCAACAGTGCGGTGCCACAAATTTCTAATGTAGCAAAGGTATCATGGAAATTCTTCATAAACTTGTCTGCGAGGCACACGAGTAGAGCCGACGAGAATAGATAAAACCAATAATTATATCGATCGTTAATGATACTGGTTGATCGTTAGGAGTTATTGAAGGATCGTTTCAGCCCTACTCTCAACTGATTATCGGCATACGGTCCTCTCGCAATTAGTACCCCATGCGGCACTAATTTTCAGTCCATCAAAAGCCTAGTTCACATTCGACGGGACGCAACGCAGGGATCGACGGGACGCAACGTAGGGATCGACGGGACGCAACGTAGGGATCGACGGGACGCAACGTAGGGATCGACGGGACGCAACGTAGGGATTGACCGGACGCAACGTAGGGATTGACCGGACGCAACGTAGGGATCGACGGGACGCAACGTAGGGATCGACGGGACGCAATGTAGGGATCGACGGGACGCAACATAGGGATCGACTTGACGCAACGTAGGGATCGACGGGACCCAACGTAAGGATGGCTGGGAAGCAACGGGACGGTCTGACGGTGTCCAATGTGAACACCAGGAACGGGAACGCAACCGTACTACCGTACAGATCGGGAAGCGACGGGAAGAGTTGGATCAATTCAACTGTTCATACCGTAGACGGGCGTAGACGGGGACGCAAGCGTACAAAACGGCTGAAATTTGAGTGTGAACAGCAGACGGCGTCGTGCGCCGACTACTCCCGATTCGCAGTTGGAACGTTTTAGCATTTCGAACACTGCGCTTCCCATGATAACTTACAGAATGGCTAACACGACTTGAGTTGAATTTTAGCATGATAAGTAGGGCTCAAACGGTCACGGTTTTACCCCCAACGGTTAGCTGCTAAGCTAACGGTCGGTTTAACGGTTATAACCTATAAGCCACGGAAATCCTGCGGACTCTTTTTTAACCGTATATTTGGCTATACTTATTCAAAAAATGTACCCTATTCAGTACAACGCACACATGTATATTCTCTTGCATGCTCATTCATACAATGTATATACTCTCACACGAAGAGACCAGATATGACCGAGTTGACAGCCCAGAAATAATTGCGTACGCGTGCGACAGCCTGCGAAAGTGCATACTTTGCAACGACCTGATACTTGAAAAATTGACTGAAAAGTTACTGCGTAACCGTTATCTTTATCGGTCAACCGTTAATTCTTCGTAACCGGTCTGCAACCGGATAATTGGACTAACCGTTTGAGCCC